GGCCTTATGCGAGCCTACTGTCGTGCACGAGGCATCCGCCAGACCTTCACGCTTCCGGACTCTCCACAGCAAAATGGGATTGCTGAGCGCCGCATTGGCATGGTCATGGACGTCGCCCGTACGTCCATGATGCATGCGGCTGCCCCCCATTTTCTGTGGCCGTTTGCGGTTCGGTACGCGGCGCATCAGATCAACCTTCAGCCCAGGGTCTCCATGCTGGAGACCTCCCCAGCTTTGCTGTGGACGGGGAAGGTTGGCGATGCGTTTGCGTTCCGTGTCTGGGGATCTCGGGCGTTTGTCCGCGACTTGTCTGCGGACAAGCTTTCCCCTCGTGCTGCTCCTTGCGTCTTCCTGGGTTTCCCCCCTGACGCGCCAGGGTGGCAGTTCTACCACCCCACCTCTCGCCGTGTTCTGTCCTCCCAGGATGTCACGTTTGACGAGTTGGTCCCCTACTACTGCCTCTTCCCCTACCGCACTCTGTCCCTCCCCCTGCCACCGCTCTTCCTTGTGCCAGGTCCCCCCTCGGTAGACCCCCTTCCCCCTCAGGGCCCGGCCCCTTCAGGTGTGTCCAAGGTAGACGCAGTCGAGCCTGTCGAGGTTGCTGGTGACTCTGGTGCTGCTGAGGGTGCTGAGCCTAGGGGTGCTGACTATAGGGGTGCGGAGCGTGTGGGTGCTACGCATGGGGGTGCTAAGCCTGAGGGTGCTGAGTCTAGGGGTGCAAAGTCTAGGGGTTCTGAGCCTGGGGGTGCTGGGTTTGGGGGTGCTGAGCCTTGGGGTGCTGAGCCTGGGGGTGCTACGACTGGGGGTGCTGAGCCTGGGGGTGCTACGCCTGGAGGTGATGCGCCTGGGGGTACGGAGCCTGAGGGAGCTGGGCCTGCTCGTGTGGCGTCTGGCGGTACTATGCCTGGAGGTTCTCCGGGTGCTTCGTCTCGGCGAGAGCCACTCTCTCCACAAGAGCTGCGCGAGTGGTTTGCCTGTCGTTGGAGGCATGCTGCTGGAGCTGGAGGTTCTTCGGCTGCTGAGGGTGCTGGTGCCGCGGGTCCCGGAGGTGCTCGTACTGGGAGTACTGGAGCTGCTGGGTCTGTGGGTACTACTAGAGCTGGAGCCACCGCGACTTCTCGTGGTCCGACTGGAGTTGGAGCTGGTGAGGGTGTTGGCGCTGAGGCAACTGCTGTCGGTCCTGGAGGCGGTCCTGCTGCGGGTGCTACTGGTGCTGCTGGAGGTACTGGAGCTCGAGGTGCTGCTGGCGCTGGTGCTACCACTGGAGGTACTGGTGCTGTCCCTGCTGTGTCTGGAGTCGCTGCGCGGCCTCGAACGTACTTCGTTCCGCTCCTTGAGCAGGTTCTTGGTCTCCCGCCTTCTGTTGGTCCTCCTCCTCACTTAGAGTGTCCACAGCCGGTCCCGTCACAGTTACAGTTACAGCCAGCCTCCCCACTGCCTGCTCCTTCTCCCTACACTAGTCCTACTGGAGGTCTTGCTGAGCGTCGTGAGCCTGCGTCTCGCCCTGCGTCGCCTGTCCGTGCTGCTCGCGCTAGTGGTCGTGATTCGCGTCAGCGTCCTCCTCCTGTCCCTGGCATGCACAGGATGTGTCTGCGTCCGTCCACTGCTCCCCTGCGTGCCCCTTTGCCTTCTCCTCCTGGTCATCTCTTCCTGCTCTTGCCGACCCGGAGTCGGACTCTCTTCATGCTGCCAGTCCTACTGTCACGCGTCTCCTTGCTACTGTTGTCACTGACCCTTCCTTTGAGTCCACTGCTGCGTCTGCCCTAGTTGCTGAGCTCGTCGACTTTGCTGCTCGCTGTCGCCTAGACTACGCTGCTAGTCTTGTTGCTGAGTCTGAGTCTCTCTGTCCTCCGTCCATCGCGGGTGAGTGTGCCCTTGGCACGGACGTCCTTGAGGACAGGCAGGAGGAGTTCTTGTGTTTGGCTGCTGCTTCACCTCATCTCGTGTCCGTACTGCTTACCCCTGAGGGAGACCCGGATGCACTTGACATCCCGACTCCGCGCTCTTACGCGGAGGCGATAGAGGGTCCCTACTCCTCTCAGTGGCACGCAGCTATGGATGCACAGATGGCTTCCTGGAAGTCCACAGGCACCTACGTTGACGAGGTTCCCCCGCCTGGGGCGAACATCGTCAGTGGCATGTGGATTTTCAGGGTGAAGCGGCCGCCGGGCTCTCCGCCTATCTTCAAGGCGCGTTACGTGGCTCGTGGCTTCAGTCAGCGGCAGGGAGTTGACTACTTTCAGACCTTCTCTCCCACCCCAAAGATGACCACTCTTCGGGTACTGCTGCACATAGCTGCTCACCGTGACTACGAGCTACACTCTCTTGACTTCAGCACTGCTTTCTTGCAGGGTAGCCTGCACGAGGAGATCTGGCTGCGCCGCCCACTTGGCTTCACTGGGACTTTTCCTCCTGGCACCCAGTGGAGCCTCTGGCGGCCACTCTACGGTCTCTGCCAGGCACCGCGTGAGTGGCACGACACACTGAGGACTACACTTGCGGCTCTTGGGTTTGCTCCCTCTACTGCCGACCCGTCGTTGTTTCTGCGCATCGACACTTCTTTGCCGCTGTTCTACATCCTCATGTACGTCGACGACTTGGTCTTTGCCACAGCTGACACTGCTGGACTCGCCCACGTGAAGTCCGAGCTGCAGAAGAGACACACGTGCACAGACCTGGGTGAACTGCGCAGCTACCTTGGCTTGCAGATCACCCGGGACAGAGCACGCCACACCATTACCCTCACTCAGTCACACATGGTGCAGCAGGTCCTTCAGCGCTTCGGCTTCACGTACTCCTCGCCTCAGGCCACTCCTCTGCCTACTCGCCACTCGCTCTCAGCTCTGCCTTCGGATGAGTCCGTAGAGTCGAGTGGCCCGTACTCAGAGCTAGTTGGCTGCCGCATTACCTGATGACCTGCACACGACCTGAACTTGCATACCCTCTTAGCATTCTCGGCACGCTATGTTGCTCCTGGGAGACACAGACCAGAGCACATGGCTGCAGCGAAGAGGTTGTTGCGCTACTTGTGCAGTAACGGTCGGGCATGGGGCTTGTGCTTGGAGGGCAGAGTCCAGTGGTCCTCACTGGGCAAGCAGACGCTTCTTGGGCTGACGGACCAGGCTACGTAGCGGTCGTCACAGGGTTACACCTTCAGCCTTGGTTCCGGCTCTGTTTTCGTGGCGGGCTACCCGCTCGTCCTCTGTCTCGGCTCCAGTTGTGAGGCTGAGATCTACGCAGGAGCCATGGCTGCACAGGAGCTTCGCTGGCTCACCTACCTGCTGACTGACCTCGAAGAGCCGCTCTCGTTCTCCTCCAGTCCTGTACGTAGACAACAAGGCCATGCTGGCCTTGTGTCAGAGCAGAGACTGGAGTACAGAACGAAGCACATTGCTCTTCGCTACTTCCTTGCTCGTGAGCTACAGCAGTGTGGTCAACTGTGTCTTGCGTTCGTGGCCTCTGAGTCCAACACTTCTAATATCTTCACCAAGGCACTTGCGCCTTGTGATCATCAGCGCTTCTGTACTCAGCTAGGTCTTGTGCCTGCCTTTCTCACTTGCTCACCCCTTGACCTTGTTTGTACTGTTACATATATATATACACCTGCTCTTGCTTGTCTAGCCTTATATATATATGTAATCCTGCATGTGAACTGGCCTTGTGGCCTTGAACTTGTGCTCGGAATGTGTGTTGACTTTGTGATCCACCCTGAGCTTGCTTTGCTTTGCTTGACTGGTCTTGTGACCCCTTGTTCTCCCCCACTTTGCCTATGGGGGTGTGTCAGATTTATATGACATAGCTACTATAGGCTATAGTGTGGTAGCACATATGGGGTTCACCTTTCTAGGTTTGTTTGCGAACCTTCATGAGGAGATTCTAGGGAAGATATTTTTTCAGATCGCAACAGGTGCCACTCTAACAAAGGGGAAATTCAGGCTCTAGGTCTGTTTGTCATTGTCAAACAGATCAGATTTATAAATATCCGTACCGTATTCTCCCGGACAAAACACCCCCAATGATTGAGCACCTTCGGGTAGCTTGGGCGGAGTGGGTGCTATGGGTGACCTCGTTTCTACTATACCCCCCCTTTTGGCTGATTTTTTTTAAACCCCCCTTTTATTACAGATTCTATATTATATTTGTTAACGAGTAGGTGCAATTATGGGAGGATATTGCGAAAGTCCCTCCCTCGATGAAATTTCGAGGTTCTTTCGCTTCGAATCTGCTGAGATTCCCCCCTGCCCACCATTTCGCTATCGCCACGTGCTGGCGATTCTTGTGCTGCAAGTGGCCAGACATGTGCCACATGGCATTTTCGAGGGCGTTCGCGTTGAAACTCACATTCGCGCATCAATATGTGATGTTAAAACGCCCATGGAAACACTCAAATTGTCTAAAAAAAAGACATACACTAAAATATACCATATATATGCACCCGGGTATTATGTAGCTTTTTCCCTGTATTTTTATATCTACCCTAGGGTGTTATGTCCGGGATAATACGGTATGTGCTTTACATCTTAGAACCACCGAAGGAATATAATTCGTTAGTCTATACTTACTTTAGGGGTGTGTTCCGAAGTTCTCGCTTGCCCTGGTTCGGCCTACATATTTCCCCGAACCACTTCCCGAGTCGCCACCGCAGGTTTTTCACCCCATGGTCCCGTGGCCCTCGCCTAGCTCGACCCAACCTATTTTAGCCTCGTTTTAGAGATTCGCAGGACATTCTCTGGTTTCGAACTTGATTGCATCTGAGCCACCCTGATGCCATAACTGCATTCCGCCATTGCGTCTGCAGCAGCGCGCCGCGTGTAATAAGAGACGCTGCGAGGTGAATGCGAACGACTCATCCTTACGAGCTCACGCAAGTGAACGATAGCAAAAGCTGAATACTTCTTCTCAGGAGGTCAGTAGTTCTCGAGTCTGCACGGTTTCGCCCCCTACAAGTGGTTCCCCCAAATTTTGTACCAATCCTGCGCGAGGCCCATTTGCGCGAGTAGATGTCGCCGTCAAACTCAAGTAGCCAGCAGCTGGCCGTGGTCGCCGCACAGCCGTCCGATGGCGTCGACTCTCGTCACGAGTAACCACCCGCTGCGCGTCGCTCTGGCGCAAAGCG